GGGGGAGAGAGGGGAGGGGAGGAGAGGAGAGGGGAGGAGAGGAGAAGGGGAGAGGAGAGGGGAGGAGAGGAGAGGAGTGGAGAGGAGAGGAGAGGGGGGGAGAGGAGAGGAGAGAGGAGGCGAGGGGAGGAGAGGGCAGTGCATGCCGCTGGATACGGCGGGGATGCGAGAGCCATGGTCTCGCTTCTAGAGGGCCCGCGCCCTGCTATCGCTGCTCCAGCCCGCTGCCATCAGCGCCTGTACGTCGCCGGGCCATTTGCCGCTGAGCAGCGGCCGCTTGCCGTTGCGGCACGCATCAGCGAGGAACGTGTCGGGAGTCATCCAGCTGAACGGCTTCTGGTGCGACAGAAAGTGGTAGAGCAGAGAGGTGAAGGAGAAGACCTCCGCCTTGTGTGCAGGGCGAGGCTGCGTGAGGAGACACACCTCGCCGCGAAGAGCCTGACACCCTCCCATCCTTGTGGTTGCATGGCGCTGCCTCTCCCCATCTCTACCCATCTCTCCTCATCTCTCCTCATATGGTCGAGTCCCCGAGTGTGGGTTCGAGACGTGTTCACACCAGTGTGCTCGGTCCCGACCCCACAGTGATTTCTTTTTCCAGGGGGGGGGGTGCGTACGTCCCAGTATGGATTGGTGGTGCGTGACGGTGATCCATATGCCCCCCCCCCCCCACACACACACCTTGTGGTTGTACGGCTCCTGAAGCGCAACCTCTGGCGCCATGTAGCGCAGCGAGCCGGTGAGGCCGGTGAGCTTGCGCCGCTCGTCGTCGCTCGCGGCAGAGTCAACCTGCAACCGGGCGGGGGGTTCGGTACCGTGGGGGTAGGGGACTGGGTTCGGTACCTCAGGGGTATGGGACTCGAGGCTGGTGGAGGGGCTGCGGTGGCCGGGATGTTGAGACGAGGTCGAGACGCGTTGCGCGGCGGCGAGGGAGGCACATACGCTACTCATGAACCGCCAGTCGCTCTCCCCGTGGCAGAAGCGGAGGGCGGCGGATGGCCGGGATGGCGGTGGAGGCGAGGGGGGAGGTGGGGGCGGGGAGGGGTGCGGTGACGGCGCGTGGGGGCGAGGGCGGTGGCGGCGAGGGCAGTGGCGGCGAGGGCAGTGGCGGCGAGGGCGGCGGCGGCGGCGAGGCTAGGTATGGGCGGCAGTGGCGATGGAGGAGTCCACCAGTGTCGCCGCTCCGGGCGGGTGGCAAGCTGCGACGCTCGCCACGCGCGCGTGCTGGCCCCACGGCATGGAGTGTGCGGCGCGCTGCTGTCTCTCGCCGCCGGAGTGTGCTGCGCGCGCGTGCAGCCCGGCCCGGAGTGCGCGCACCTTCCACAGCTTGCACAGCCCAAAGTCGGCGAGCACGATGCGGCCGTCCGCAAAGCAGCCGATG